ACAACAGCTTTCCGGGCTAGGTTATCCATGTGGAGTGTGTCCTGTTGGGCACCTATGGATATTCTTTCTGGGGTGTTCTCTGCTGTTCAAGGGGAAAATCTTGAGCCAATTTCTGCAACTGCTGTTTGTCTAGGGACTGCAGTGGTTGACCTTCTACATGTCAGTGTTAAAAATCTCCTTTCTGGAAATACTTCCCTTTGGGCATTACTTCAAGCTCTGCGTTTCCTCATAATCTGTTGTTGTGAAGCTTCCATGTGATCAGTTTCTTAGAAAACATAATTTATTTTATAATCTTTTGGGGGTTTTGAGAATTAGTCCTCACAGATTGCATTTGTAAAGGGTGTCTTAGTAGTAGAGAAATTTTATATAGTGAAACTTTTAAAAATGGCATTAAACTAATTTTATTTAATCTGACCTAAATTAAATACTTTTGGGTTTTTTGAAAGTTTTTTGTTAAATTCAATAATTCATAATGCCTTTTTTATAGGTGCATATTTTCTTTGGAAATAGGACTCAAACTGATGCAGAGCTTCAAAAAGCTGATGTTTTGTGTAATGCTTACTATCTGCTTTCTCTTCCAGATCATCAATAAATAGAATTTGCTAATTTGCACTGATTGGGAGACCTGTTGCCAACCACAAAAAATTTCATGCTAGTCAGTAAGTGTAGGAAGTTCAGGCTTAGTGATAATTACTGTGCCTGCAATCTGTAAAATGTAAAAGCTGATGAAGTTTTAGAATCCTCTGACTGCAAAATTGTCTCTGGGGATACGCTTCACGGAGAAACGGGGGTGAGAATATTTTGTGTGGAAGAGAGAATTAGGGAGGTTCCACTGTATCGGGTCTGATGTCATTTTATCTACTTGCCAACAGCATGGAGTAGGAACGGGCTAAGGTGTTGGTGAAGTTTGGTGATGACAATTTAATTGTTTCAGTTATTAAATGCTGCGGAGGATTTTGAGGAACTCCAGATACTTGTAAACTCCTTCATAATTTGGCGACACTGATGTCGGGAGATACTTCCTTTGAATCAAACACGGTAATCTACTTTATAAAACACAGCAAAAAGAAACTGTGAGCTTGAAAGCTTCTTTACCTTAAAGACTCGTGGGGGACTTGCTGATCCTTATGGGTCCCTTCCGACTTGAGATATTCTGTGATTCTGTGATGTGGTTGAAGGTAAACACCCATTGTACAGAAACCATTTGGGGGTTTTTTGGCAGCTTTTGGAAAGGATATCAAAATCTGTAAGATCATATAGAGCAGTTCACGCTTATCTGGAGTATTCCCCAACCTGATTGCTTCCTCCTAAACGTGGTAGTAGTGGGAAAGGATGAAGAGGTTATGAAGATGGTTAGAGGTGTTGAGTGTGGTTGTGACATGAGACTGCAGCCGAGAACTGCTGAGCTTCAAAGAGTCCTTCCAGGAGCGACCTGACTGAGGGTGTTCAAAAGCATAAGACTTCACGAAAACTAACCGGTTGCTCTGCTTTTACCCCAAAGAGGAGGGAAATTCAAAGGCAAGGTGTCTAGAGTAAATTCGAGGTAAATGCTTCCTGGCTGACTCCTTGTAGAAATTGAGAAGACGTTTGCATGCAGCATCGCGTTGTAGAGCGTAGCCTGATGCGTTGGGTACTGCCCGCTGCCCGCAGCAGGAAAACAGACTCATTGAACCAGGGCTGCGATCTAATATGTCAACTTACCTTTATCTCCGTAGGGTTTGTACTGCACGTACTGTGGTAAGTCAGGTAGGAAACTGTACTATTTGTATTTACTTACCTAGGCAGTTACGCTTAGATGTAGCATTCAAACTCCAGTGTGTCTCTCACTGTTCTGCCGCCTGTGCAGGCAATATTTAACCTTTTAGTGCCTCAGTCAGCTGGCAAAGGGGATTATTCCGGGCCACTGTCATGCGGTGCCATGCCTGGAATAAAAGCCCAAGAGCTTCCAGGCCTGCAGACTCGCAAACGGACAGCACAGACTCCCAGTGTTGTTGCCTTTGTTAATGAAAAGGCTAAAAAAGTTACAGTCCGCTGAGGTTTCTTCTAATACTCAAATAATCTTCATTTGATTGAGCGTGTGATTTGGTGACCTTGTGTGGGGGCTTTCTTGTGAAATGTGTAAAAGTAGAGAGAGCTGCTTAAAACCAAAAATGGGAAAACCGTGTAAATGAGTTGAATTGGTAACTCCCCACTAACACAAGAGCTAGCGCTAGGCTAAAGCAGCGATTATGGTCTGACCATGTTATTTCATGGTTTAACTTGTCGTGACTCATGCATCTTTTCATGCACGCGGCCGATGCTCAGACACTAAACTACTTTACGAGTGAGTGGTAGTGTTTGAAAGCTGACTGGAAACCAGTATGTTTAGATGTAGAAAGTACCCTTGTGTGTGGTGTTTGGTTTGGTTTTTTTTTTTTTTAATTATGATTTTCAGATTTCATCCCGCAGTGCAGGTAATAAAATTGTCAGCAATTAATTTGTACATACTTTCACAAAGTAACTTCCTTCCTGTTGTCTCCTTTACTTACTTTAATACGCTATCCAATAATATTTTAATGAGAGAAATTTTGGAGTTGCGAAGGCTTTTTTCAAACTGTATCTGTTGGCTTGGATAAAATACCCCTAGTTGATACCATCAGTACACGTCTTGACGTAGATGGATTTGTTATC